TCAGGAATATTAGAAAAGAGTTACTGTTGAAATTGGCCCTGGTGGGCCGGGAATGAATAAACCCAAGTTCTTCCAGAGGAATTTCAAACCTGCGCCATCTGCCCGGCTTAGTAACCTGGGAATCCAATGAAACCAGGCCATCACGTCTTAAAGAGCACCTCTGCAATTGCTCTGGTTTCCAAGCTCGTGTGACCAAGCAATTATGAGGTCCAAATCGCAAACCCTTACATCCCTTACTGTAAGCTAAAGGGGTCGGCGATGCCAGGTTTCCAGAACGTCAGAAGGAGGCCATGCCTCCCGAAATGTACCCCCAAACCAAGAGCAATCAACGGAATCATACTATACCCACACAGCTGTTCACCCTTGAGCCGCAGCTGTCTCAGGCACCTTCTCGTTGCTGGGGTGGCCGTCAATGTTCATAGGCGCCGTTTGCAGTAGGGCCTTTGCGATTAATCTGAAAGGCTTTCTGGGTAGCAAGGTATTCTGGAACTGCAGTTGCTGCTACTAATGCTGCTGCTGCTAATGCTGCTGCTGCTGCTGCTGCTGTTCCGGGTGTTTCTTCGACTGTTGTGCACCCTCCTTTGCTGAAACTGCTGCACATCTCTTCCTGATGATCCGATACAGCCGCTGCTGCTACTCCTGCTTGCGTTGGTGTGCCTCTGCTGCTCATCTAAAAAGTATTTACACTCATTGCGCTACGTTGAGTAATTACTCCTGTTCTGCTCTTACGAGTCCGTGGTCTCATGTCGGGACCAGCCGAGGCACCAGGAACGACAGCAGCGCCAGCTCGTTTGCCAACGGCGCGTTGATGCGCGGAATCCTTAGAGCCACGAGGAGAAGGTTGAGGCAAAAGGGTTTGGGATCCCAAAGGCAATTACACACTGGTTCCAGTCGGATAGGGGCGGTTTGCGCGCATTGTTGTTGGTACTGACACTGGCCTGGCAGTTCTGAGTTTCAGAAGCGAGCCTCGTGATACCAAAGCCCAAAACCTTGTTCAGGTATTACATCTGAGAGAAGTAACCGCAGCTTACAAGTCTGGTCATGAGTAGCAGGGCCAAGGCAGTAATCAAACAAGAAAGTGGCTACTGGCAATGCTTCTGGCGGTGATGTGGTGAAGCGGCAGCGAGAGCAGTGGCGGCGGCGACGCTTCCGATGACGAAGGCAGTGCCGGTCGTGGCGGCGACTCTGGTTGTGGCGGAGGCTGCGGTGGTCTGTTGAGAGTACGACCACGGTGCGAATGCGATGGGAGCCTATGGGTGGTGGGAGTAGTGTATCTGACAAAGCTTTTTGCTCATCGCACCATTTGCCAAGCAGAGCCCTGCAGAGGATGCCCTGGTGCCACTCGGCACTCCAAATTCTACGCCATTTATTTTTTCGGCATTGTGAATATGTGTGTAGGACATTGACAGTCAATTCAGCAGCAAAGGCACTTGTTCCTTCGTGCCCCCTGAATGGCTTCGGCGGCGGCTTCCACACAGGATGCCTTCTGCAGCGGCCACACCTCCAATTGAGCTGCACACACTTCGACAAACCACCACGGAGGTCCCAATGCAACTTGATGTGTGTTGTGGACATGTGCAAGTATAGCGGTCTCTGCATATCAGGGCTTCGCTTGGCTCGCTTGCGCAAAACGACTGGTTTGGTTTGCGGTGTTGTAACGTGTAGTGTGAAGCTCACGCACTGGCATCTAGTCCTGCCTGAGTCGTCCAAACTCTACAGTAGCAAACTAAGCCAGAACTGTGAAACCGCCTTGTAATTTGAAGTGCAGGCCATCCAGGAGCGTATGCTAAAAAACCAAAGATTTGAAACAACAAACGCATTTTGAATGGGACTCCTCCAGTCTTGGAGCCCCCAAATCCACATCCAACCCTCAGCGGTAGGGAAATCAAGAGGTCAAGCACCTGGGTGCAAGTGTGCGTCAGGGAGTCCAGAACATCCATGATGGCGCCAGATTGCCTGGGCTACTCGGCTATTCTCTAGCATGCTACAGAACTAACATACGGCATTTGGAGCATGGAGGGGTGAGAGGGAGTTTACATATGAAAAGACACTTTGAGGGCACAAAAACATGCACAGTGCACCGAGTTTAAGCTTGAGCGCGGGAAGGAACAAGAAACGGAAGGGCCCCTGCTGCACATCAATAGACTTAACGGTCAAACTTCTTGTCTGCGTGTACTAGGTGTCAAGAGTCACAGGCTTACTTGGGTGAAGCCTAGGGGGTCTCAGCATCGCTGTACGAATATTCTTGTTACATCTTGCAGCATCGTGCGCCCCAAATGAAACAAGTCCTCGGATTATTCGTAAACCCTATACATCCCGGTTCCTCTACATATGATATAGCCCTTAATAACCCCCGTAAGGGGACCTTGTCCCTAAAACAAGTCCTACATCACCATGTTCCTGTCAGTGCAACTTTCACACAGCCAGCCCCGCTGCGCACCAACCATGGATCCAGACAACTCTTCCAGCTTGGTCTTGAGCGGGCCCGCGTTGATTCTCAGCCAGTGCAGGGCTTCAGATTGAGGATTTGGGGTATACTATTGGGGTTAATATTAATATTGGGATAATGGAAAAGAAAATGGAAACTACGGGGTTTATACAGGGTTTATATAGGGATAATAGGAATGGGAAGTTCTCAGAGCCATCGGTCCTGGTGGGCCAAGCATGACTGATGTAGGCACATACAAGGTTTGCAGTTTAATGGCTTTGGGGGCTTGTATAGGATGAAAAGGTCCAAGGGTTCAGGCTTGAACTGATCCTACAGTAGCCTAGCATCTGCCTGCAATATCCACAAAGTGCTTTGCTTCAAAATCTGAACTGCAGAGCCCCCGCAATGCCCTCAAAAGATACACCTCAAGGCTCAACAGCCCAAGGAATCTTCAGGAAAACCTACAGCCTCAACCAGAACACTAGGAGCAACAATGAATTCTCTTCCCTGCACAGAAAGAACAAGCTGGATATGCAAGCAATGAATGGGGTATAATTTCCCAAGCTGAGAATTCTTCAGCATAAGGACCTTTCGAAACCACAGAATCCCTCCATGCCGTCAAGCGGCCCGTAGTTGGAAGAGGTCGGAGCAACCCAGTCAATCTCCCAACCCAAGGCCTCACATCGAGGGGCAGTGGCAAAGAAGACTGATCATGGCAACTTGAGGATGATGATAATGATGATGATGAGGGTGGAGCCGGCACAAAGAAGTCAATCAAGATTCTTCATCAGGCTCGTTGTGGTATTCAAAAAGATACAAAACTTAGTGGCAACCTCAAAAAGAGGCTGAGACTCCAGTCGTCATACGGACGCGGACTTTGAGATTTGAGCTGGAGTATTCCTTCGGAAGGGTAGCAGCTGTCAATAATACGTGCTCGTTCATTCTCAAGTAGCAGCCAGTCTGGCCCCTGGCCACATGCCATGTGAACTCTGGGCGCACGCGCTTGGGGATCGTTTCTGTGAGCTTAGACACCAATAGACCCCTGACACACGGAAATCGTAAGAGCCGAATCACAACGAACCACCCATGAAACCTGCTTGCATGGGATGAACGGTACGTAATTATTTGAGCTATTAATATTCCTACGTCACCGGCATAACTGGGCAACAAATGCGCTTCCGGCAATTTTTTTGGCACCGATAGCATGAAAGCATGAAAATGCCAGTCACAATCCCAATAACTTTGACAGCCGAAGCAATACTTAGCAATGAAGCTCTGGTGCTTAAGGGAGTGTGGGAGAGTGGATCCTTGTTGTAATGATCCCTATAAAAATCTCCCTATACACACCTACATTCACTCCCACGCTGCGCCCTGAAGAACCAGTAAGTCATCAGCCAAACACTCCACGCCGACGCCTCGAAAACCGCTTCGGTGCAAATGATGCTGAGTTGGCTCCCTGTATCTCGGGGGTCCTCCGTCATGTCCTTGACTGGGGTTGACTTTCGTGATGCACCTCTAAAGGTAACTACGGCAGAGATCAGAGTAGCTTGTTGAACTGGACTGTCCAGTATACAATAATGCAAGTATAGGGCAGCAAACATTAGTAGAACGTTTTGAAAATACTCCTTGGAAGGCGGTGCCAGAAATTAGTTCTCATACCTGGAGTCGCAACCGGTTTCCTGCTGCGCCATCAGATGAGTCTCCATGTTCAGCAAGCGGCCATTATGCTTGTTATGAAAATGACTGTGGATCAGGAGCCCGATGCTTTGCAGGCTCCCCTACAACCCCCCCCACCCCCGATTACACACAACTGTTGCAGTCTGATGTTACATACCTTTGTCGCAAAAGCTTCGTACACGTATGCTCCACAAAAAAATAGCTTTATCAAAAGGGGTTTGTTACAAGCCTATGTCGCCAATACCCAAGCCTGTTACAAACCCAATGTTGATTCGCAGCCAAATCTACCCTCGCAGCCGCTCATGGGCAGTGCATGACTGTCAAAGACATCTATGATAACCCTTCGCGGCGAAGGCTGGTTTTAGCCACAAAAGCAGGCAACACATATGCCTGCACCTGCATTTAGTCTAACCTTGGGGCTAGATGTGGTCTTTGTTCTGTGTTTTTCTTGGGGAAGCCAAGGACACTGCGGAATGTATCTTGTTGGTCGCAGTCCGTCAAATCTGCTGCAGGACTCCCACCGCCCACCCGATTTCAACCCTCTCATATCACGCCACGCGACATCCAGTTGCGTTCTTTGGCTTCGCTGGCTCCGCATGGAGGGTGCTTTACCTACAGAGGAACAGAAGAAATCCGGAAGATTCCGCACCATCATTGACTTCAGATCAGTGCGTCTCAAGATCAATATTTGCTGCCGTTGCCACTCAATTCAAGTCCTGCTACCTTTCAAGTAATAGTAAAAAAAAACAAGGGCAACCTGAACGAGAATACAAGTTCGACCAGAACCCCCAGGGCCGTACTGTGGGGCGGCGAATCGAACAATCACATGCATTGCATGAAGCTGTGGGAGGATACAGTCTTGTTCCACATATATGGAATTTGAACTTCTGCTGATTCATGACACAGGTGTCGTGCACGTTAGAAAAAACGCACGCCGAAAACCCAGAAGCCGCATGTACTCTTCGCCAGGGTACCCACTGATCCGGCCACACTTCGGGCCACGCCGGCCTTCTTTCTCCTGTGCCATGTCCAGGTATCGCTTGCCAATGGCCAGTCTGAGCACTGCTCCGCGGGGCAGATACGACAAGGAGACAAAGGGTACTTCTTTGCGGCAGGAGCAGCACAGATCCTCAACAAACCCCAAGTGCAAGAATACAGCCGTGAGCTAGGGGAAAATGCATCCACAGCCACTCTCAACACCGCCGCCTATCATGCCAGCATCAAACAACTCAAAGCCACATGCGCCCTAGCCGAAAGAGTGCCAACCTGATGTGGTAGACTGGTGTTTGGAGAGCCATGCCACGCGGTCCTTCTGTGGCCAGCCGTCGACGCTTGTGATTGTGCGGGCGAGGTATTCGCCGATACGGCCGTCCTCATTACAGCTGCTTTTGATAGCACAGGGACAGGCCCCGTAGGACTGACCATCATAAGTGACAGTAGTGGAATTAGGCTCGTGTACGATTCGTATGGTTAAAGGCCCCAGAAAGGACCCAGCATTTAAGGACTCTAGAGATATTCGCGCTCACTCTGTGGCATCTCCCAATGGCCTATGCTGGGGCGTATCCTCACTGCTTGCCGTGAAAGGCACAAGTAATCATCGTCGATGATGTAGACCTGCTGCCCAAAGCCATCTAGATTCCCTGTTAAAAGCATACTCATGTATTCCATGGGAATATAGGGCACGTAAATACAACAAAAGGATAAATCCTTTGAGCATGGAATGCCATTTTGCTAGGCTGAAACATGTCTCTTACTAATTCCAAGGCCTTTTGCCAGAGCTCAAGAAAAAGCAGGAACTGGCCTTCTCAACGACTGAAGCCCCCTTGCCCTGTTCTGGTGATGGACCAAGCAGCGTGACCGAGGATCATGAGTGTGGTATGGAATGGGCGTGAGGTGCATGGCATCATCTGCTGGAGGACTTGGACTCCCCCCGCCCCGCAGCACCCAACCCGCACCAGAGCCTTCATCCTCGCGACCCTAGAAAACCAACCAAACTCTACACTTATCAAGCTAACTCATGGATGGTCATGCATAGCGGGGGATGCGGAAATAGATCCCGACGGAAATCCCTACTCGGCCTTCATCCCTCCTGAAGGAGTCTCTATACACCCCAGCTCTCTGGACTAAACCCCTAAAGCATCTTAATCATCCTAAGCATGTCCGCAAGTAAGGCCGCCTTGGTCTTCAGGTGGCGCTCATCGACGAGTTTGTTAACCCTCTCCTGGGCAAAAACAGGTTAGATCAGTAGACTTCACACCTCTGTCGCCCTGAACCTCACAAAATCCCTTAGAACAAAGCCCTCCGCCGCAAACTCCAGTGTGCGCGCACCAGGAACCCAACTTGCTCAAAAAACCTAAGGCCTACACCTCCAAATCCTCAAAAACCCTTTGGCCCTTGCTCTGGCAGCCCCCAAAAGCCCAGTCTCCTGGATGAGGGCCGAGGCTTTGCTCAAGGCGGTCGCCTTAAGTGCCAGTGCGGATGACACGAAAAATCGCCGGCTACACGTCAGAAACCCTTGCATTGTAACACTGTATATGCAAGGATTCTATTTCATATGCAAGAAGGTCTCTATAGGAGTTAGTGATTTCAATTCGAAATACTCAGAGTCACTTTGCTCTGGTCCTTGTCATGGGTACCATTCTGTTGAATTCTCCTCCCTGTCCGTATTTTCCACATTCAAAAAAGCAATTGGTGGCCTTCTGTGGTGAAAATATTAATGCTACTACTCGTAGTATCACCACTTTACGACCATTACTCCCAAAGCTTTAGCAAATGCTGTTAGCAGGCCATCTGCCGGGTTTAGGGCTCAAGCAATAATTCCCATAACCACACAGCGAATGTGTGGGAGCCTCCGAACATGACCTAGAGTATATGCGCTCCCCTGGAGAGGGACCTTCTGATTCGAATAGATTCTTACAGGAACCCCGGCCCGTGTTCTGGTTTGAGACATCCACACGCCTATTCAGGGGACCCAGAACTGCTGAGAACAACGTCGTACAGGCTTAAACTAAACTTAAGGGTCCAAGGACCCAATAATAGGGCTTTAGGGCCCGAATACCATTAATATTATAGTATTTGGGCCTACAAGCCCTATTATTTGGGTCCTTGGGCCCTTAGAGTAAACAACTAGGCTTCATTACCACACTAACTAGCATCGTTCCTTCAAGAACCATATTAGAAAACAATCACGGAAACCCTGGATGGTAGGCTTCTGGGCTGTCAGGGCATGGCTCATATGAGCTATAGTCTGACCTCCTAGTATCCCCCTTAATATTGGAGAAGCAAATGGAAAAGAAAGGACAATGAAATGGAAACTAATGTTATATAGGGGATTATAGGGGTTATAGTCTAAACTCCTAGTATCCCAATAATAACCCCTATAATACTCCTCTAGATTACCCCTCTGAGAAGTTTAGAGTCTGGCTCATGCGACAAACTGCTTGGCGACTGAGCCCGCCACCAAGATGGAGCAAATACCCATGGTAGACACCATTAACCTCAGCAGGGCATTTGAACTGAGCTGAAGATACAACTAACTCTCCCCCTGATAATGCAAGTTCCCCTTATGTAATGGTATCGTATTGAGAACTAGCCACGCAAATTGCTTGGCCACAGGAAAAATCGGTCTAGACTCAAATGATCCTGGACGGAACGGGCTTTTGTTCGCCCCCTCAAGAATCAGAAGCCCCCAGGCTACGAAAGTTCACGCCCCAGAAAGCTTTATCCTCCTTCTGCAGACCCTGGAACCCGCCAGCAGAAGAACCAAACCTTAGCATGCCTGGCGGCTTGGTAACCTAAATCCTTAAATCCCTAAACCCTAAACCCTAAATCCTAAAGCCCTAAACCCTTTTGCCCTAAACCCCTAAATCCCAAACCTTAGCATGCTTGGTGGCTTTGTAACCATTCCCGTAGACTTGTCCAACTTTGCCTCTTTGCTTCCTGGACATGGCGGGATCAGGCTTTAACGCTTATAGTCCCCCTTAAGTAGATATAGGTTATACGGGTTACAATCGGGATAATGGAAAAGCAAATGAAAACTACTATTTAGAGTTTAGGGTTTGGGGTATATAGTCCCACTTAAGTAGATAGAATATGGAGTATATGGGGATCTTATTATAATGTACCCAAAGCCGTATTCTAGGGGGGACAATAGGTTCCACCGGCCGTTGCCATGCGTCCATTCACCGAAGTCCCGGGCATACAAGTTCTTATCCGTACATGAGAGAAACACTGCCTTGGCAAACTTCTGCCTTGTGCAGGATCCAGGAGTGACTGGTTCAGCGTCATGCCGGGTGGCTTTGGGCTTGCGGCTCCGCCATGTGTACATGGGACTTGGCCGAAATTTGTCATCCCAAAACGGCGGAAATTTATATTAGCATAATGGGAACTCCACTGTAAGGACCCGTAATGCAAGTAGAGAAATCCCCACATAGGCGCCTACAATCTGGCGCAGAGCGCCGGGGTCCTCATGGTCACGTCACAGGACTCTAATTTGCAATATCCATCGTGCGCCGACAACCTGCCTAGCTTAGACTCTCCCAGACCGTTCACTGACAAGTCCTAAAGTTCCGATCAGATCGGTGCAGCGCGAACGTATGTGTAAAGCGCAAGAATTCCGTTGCACGCTATACTCAATTGTCGTATCTCATAAAGACTGAATCTAGACACATCACTGCGCATATCGATAGGGACTCAAATGACAAACGTTACTGCTCTTGCATTTCTGTACACCAGGTAGAATTCGGATTAACTAAGGATATGGCCCCAAAGTTCTGCGCCTTATAAACAGGGTGGTTACACCGAAAGGACTGTCTAGGTGCATGATCACAATCCCTCAATTCAGAACTAAATTAGCATGGTCCAGGTCTGTACTGTAGGGGATAGGTACTGTCCGGAAATAGAATGAAACTCTACCGTCATGATGCCAATGCTATTCCCCACAACGCTCTGAGCAAAAACCCGTCCAATCATCGTAACCCAATGCTGAAATCGCCGTCAAAAAATACTTGGGGGCCAGAATTTCAGCTGTCCCCGGCCTTTGTCCTGCCTTTTGCTTAGCCGCTGACTTGTCTGGCCCTGTTTGTCATGCCAGGCCCACCACCTGAACAATCTTGAAGTTGCAGTTTTTCTTGGCTCGTAAGAGGTCCACTTGTGGCACTCCTATGACCACTGCTGGTGGGCAATTTTTGGAGACCCTGCTGTGGGACCAGGGCTGCGATGCTTCAGCTATTCAAGTTGATGCTCGCGAACAACGAACCAACTGACAGCAGTACCACCTCCTAAGGATGTGATTAACTAGGAGTCAATATACAGCTTTTGGAAGGAAGAACATGACAAGTCTGTAACAAAGTCTTGGTCGCTAGGGGCTGCCCTAACACTGCCTGCGTAATGTTATTCGAGATCCCAAGCTTCTGAGTCTTGAGTAGTTAATCCCTGTACCCAATAGTTTGCAAGATCGGCGGTGACCTCGACAGCATCATCAGAATATGCACATGATGCACATATAGTTCACATATACGCAAGCTTTCCGAACATATTGCCAAAGCTGGGAGTGTCCGAAAAAAACACAGGGCCACTTGTAGTAGGATGGTGTTTTGGCGGTGCGTGGGACCTTTCTTGAGAACACGCTCGCACGTTCACATTGAAGCCGTAACTCCCGTATCCATCACGACCCATGCCACCCAACAAATTGTCCAAAGCAGCGGCGCCGCTGGATGCATCTCTGAAATTGGTCGAGCCACTTGCTTTGCTGTGTGCAGTCGATGCAGTCCTTCAACACATGCAATCACCCATAAGGGCACTCAAAAATGGGGGGTTTCCAAAACCAGTGGCCTCAAGTATGGTCTGCAATCTACTATCCTTATTCTAGGCCCTGCTTACGGATCACTAAGGATATGCCCCATGCTGAAATGACTCTCATAGACTCTCAAAAGGTCCTTCGTGTAGGGACTGGGGTTACCAAAGCTCACCTATCAATGACTGTGAACAAAAGCATCAAGCTGTCAGGCCTCTCACCCACAGTTCCGATGTTCATGGATGCGATGCTAGACATTGTTCCACATTGGCGAGGCGAGATGACTACCAAGGGAAAACCTGTGACAGAGATAGGAATAGTCCAAGTGAAAACAATGGCAACCTCACCGGTTGCCTCTCCGAAACAGAGCTCTCCCGAACAGCCAGTGCTTGCCAGCCATCTTTAGTCGCAAACTCCACCCACTCCACCCAATACCTTGAAAAACTTGCGCCAGCTCTCGCAGTCCTGCAGCAGTGCCAGGAAGGCTGACATCGGAGCCAGGGCAGTCGTGTTGAGCTTGCGAAGCAGGCCCGACATGCCAACCTAAGTGAAGATCAAATAATGTCCGAAACATGAAGATCCGCGTTAGCTCTATCCGACGCTGGGTCGTCTTCCTGGCAGCATACTTCCTCTGGCAGACAACCTGCTCGCAACCTCTGACACAATCATCTCTTGAGCAAATGCCATGGACCATCCTACGTCAAGAGCCCTGGAACCTCAAACAAGAACAAGCTGAACGCTGGTTAGTAACTCTTGGTGTGGGTGCATTCTGGCCTGGGAGAGAATACGTATCCGGACAATTGAACTGTTGTGTGGCTAAATGTTAAAGTTTTTGAATGCATCGGGTCGATAACAGGCATTCTGGAAATTCCACATAAACGACAGGTTTGAACTTGATTTCCCTTCGCAATCGTGATTTGAATGTCAATCCACTGAGAACCCTCCATTGTGGGGGTGGGGTGGAAATGCCAAAACAGGTGACAACAACAAGTGCTTGGGCCCAAATAATCTGCAAACATCCTCTTCCTTTTCCCCTGTGTCCCTCCTAAACCCTAAACCCTAAACCATACCATTCCCTACCTTAAAGGGACATGTCCAAGCCATTCCAAGCCGACCGCTAGTTTTCAGATCTTCGTTTAGACATTAACCCGGCTGCAACTCCCGCGGAGCGAAGCTTGTGAAAAGAACCCTCAACGCTAATTACATGTGAACAGTTAGCGCAGACATGCCGGAATGTCCAGCCTAGATGTAGCACGCGTATTGACTCTCGGAATTGTGAAATACGGTTGAGATTACAACATTGCTCGGTCTTGTGCGCCAGCCTGTCGTGTGCATAGGAGATAATTTGGGGGCACAGGGGCAAACCTCAAACTCAAGGAATTCATCAAAACCTGCCCATGCAAGAATCTCACCCAAACCTGATGTTACTATCTCTCTCAGATGCCCTTGTATATCCTCGAGTCCTGGGATTCCTATGCCCTATGCCGGACGACGACGGCCCACCACAACAGAGACCACAGAATGTTGATGTGCATGCAGGCAAGAGGCCATTTGCTCAGCTATTTGGGGGCACTGCCTCAAAACCTGCGCGAGATGTTTCTGTAGGGTGCCCCCGAAGGCTTTACTGGATCCTAGTGTTGAAAAGCTGACGTCGTTGAGCTACAACCACTGCATCCAGTAATCTCAACCTTGATCTGACAAATTCTAGAGCTACGTCATATGCAGAGCTGTTATGAGGACAGCCAAGGTTGGCCAACTGCAGCTCCCCTCAGCCGCGGATGCTCGAAACAAGCTTACTGCAAAGACGCCATGAAATCAAAACCAAGAGGCGCCACGGCGCCAACTTACACATGCAAGCAAAAGCGCTCTCCTGCTGTTTGCCCTCCCAACTCAAGTTCTCCCAATTCAGAGGGAGTGTACTACAGGCAAGTTCAGTATTTAGCGAAAACTTTGCGAGATCCTTGGCTCTTCTTTGCACTGCCAGGAAACGGCCCCGATCAGCTGCCGATTAAATCTGGCTGATGCTTCTGCATCGAAGACCTCAGGCCTTGCTCTCCCTTTGAGTACCTCGGCAAAGGCACTTTGTTTGAATGGCGAAAAATAGTGGCCTTTCACTTGGCGGCTGAAGGGGCAGAAGGTGCGTAGCTTAATGTGTTCATGCTTCTGGGAGATCCCTTGGCTGGGCAAGCTCTTCGAGGTGAAGGGCATGAAGCTTCATGGTGCTTAGGTCGTCGGAGTGCAGTGGCTCCACCTGTCAATGCCTTAAAGTAGAGCCTGCAGTGTTTCTCACAGGTCTAGCTCGTCGTCCCCGCCCTTGGAAGACACAAGGTCTACGCTGAATGTTGCTGTGAGCGTCACAGGACCTCTAGATTCTGGTCGGGCGGTGGCGCTTTTCTCTGTGCAAGCTCGGCTTGGGTCCCTCTCGCCTTTATGAGAAGGAGTAGATGTGGGGCCAGTTGGGAAGGAAGCCGTGCTGGGGTAGAGAAATTAGATTTGCGCCATCAGATCACGAGGAGGAATGCAGAACTGAGCATGTACGAGCATTTCTTTTGAAGCAAGGGCAGTAATTACATTCCCAGGCATCCTCCACATCCCGGCATAGTTTGAGGTGGGCCTGGGTACCGTTAAGAGTTCACATCGACAAAGACGGGCTGACCGTCCAGACACGCTTGGATATGTAAAGATGACTCCCTGAAAGGCCATCATGAGCTTATTGACCAATCGTGTCATCGCGGTCCATTTGAGGCTTACCGTTTGGGATCTCTTACGGCGGCCTGGGTGAAGCTTAGGGTATAGATAAGAGCCAGGAGGCCGCAACCAGCAAACGCGCTACGCGCTGCTGTAAGTCCGTCATTCGCCGCTGGAAAACCTATGGGTGGAGTATTCTCAAGGCCTGGGGCTTTGTGGCTCGCATTGGGGGAGCTTTATAGGGAAACAGGGTGCGTGACTTAGAAATGCACGGCAATACTTCTAAATCATCCTATGATCAAGGCTCATGGAAAGTACGAGCAAGGGAATCACGGCAAGGCTTTCGAGGGCTTGTTTCTGTATCAATCGGGACCGAAGACGGTTTGCAGAAATGACATGCTGTATTTCAAGGATGAGTTTGCAATCTTGGGGATTGCAAAGCTGATGGAGGATAAACCGACTATTCGGGCATACGGAGCTATGGGCGGATCAGGAATACAAAGATTGGAACTTTAAAGGTTATATACATGAGGCCAGAAGAGGAGCATGCGGCAACAATGTACAAAGGGATTGCGGCACCCCGCTGACAAACTGCGATTGGGGTTCCTTGACAGAGACCAGGCAAGGATTTGTTAGGGTCAAAACCGTAAAGCCAATACAGTCACGGGACAGTTTGGAGTGTACCACACTGGTAATTGGTCAAACGGCAACCGATCACATGATCCCTGTGTTACATACTGTAGCACCCCGAAGAAGCTTAGAAATTCACGCTCGCCAAGCATAACAACCCCCAAAGCCCACCTGGATGTGACCCCAGTCAGAGCTGGATGCCATGTCTTCGGCGTAGAGCTCGCCTCAGCACAGACCCGCAGCAGTCCCTCATTTCGGATCTAACGTTCAGCACTGCAGTTTTTTCACATCCACACGTACAGCCTACTCTGACTTGCAAAACATCCTCACAACCGCACGGATCCGCCAAGCTGCGCAGCTCTTGTCGGTCCTCATCCGTCGCGCTGTCGCCCAGCGCAGCCCCTGCAAAGGCTAAAAGCCGTGCACAGTGGACGTGGCCGGCACGGATAGCATCCTGGCTGAGATCAGAGTTGAGAGTTGAGATGTCAAAGGCGTGAGAATGTGGGTGCCGCGGCGTCCGGTGTATTCTGCGCAAAATTACGAAGAACAAAGCAGTGGCAGACACGCTGTAGGTGTAGAGTCCCTTCTCTGATCAGGTGCGTAGAATACAACAAGAGCTGCCTTCAAGAGCTAGAATTAATGATTACTAGCTCATGCCTCTGCGGGCGGCCGTCAAAAACTCCGTCCTTCTAAACACATTATGGCACGGCTTTTGAAAGACCAGCTGACAAACGGAATCACCATCACGAGATACGGCCTACAGTAGCAGGATCCTTACGCCAGTAACTTCAACAGTGGACCCATCCAGCATGATGAGAAGCTCAGAGGTGAAGCAGGTACTTGCAGGAGAGCAATAGTAGGAAAACCGCACAACGCAGCAGGCCTGCTTCGAATTGTTTGGGCTCCCGGTCCGTTCGTAGGGAGGGTCTCGATTTTCTTTCTCACGCCGAAACCGAGAGACCGAACACATGCGACACGAGTCAAGCTTAAGAATTCAGTTCAAGCGCGACACTTGGAAAGCTGCAAATTCTGAATGCTACCTTGCTAGCTACCCATGTGCTAAGCCCAGATTCTTTGGTGGAGCTTTGACTCTTACCACAGACTTTTCAGACAGTACTTTTGGAAACTGAGCTCACTGGCCTAGCCGCCTTAATTACAGCGCACACATACAAGTACTGCCATGTCCACCTATAGCCAGGGCCTGCAATGGCGTGGATAGCCACCGGTCTTGCGGGGAGCTGTTTGCCCGCGCAGTTCCTGTGTGCAGTGCATGGTGGCAGCATGAGCTGCAAGTCCATGAAGAGCACCCTGCCAACTACATGCTACAAAGTTGGGGACGCAGCTTCCGTGGTCTTGAACAGCAGGTCATTTCAGGAAAGGACAGCGCTGCAACAGCAGAGCAACTTGTATGCAGACAACTGCACAGTATACCGTTAGGTTCCAAAGCAACTTCCTGTCCGAGGCTGAAGTACTGGCTGCAACCCCGGGTTCATGCCCAAAGCCTATATGATGCAATGCCCCAGCGAACTCTGCAACGCAACGCAAACGTAACTCAGGCGCCCAATGATTTTCCAAGGAAACTCTCAGATCCCCCCAAAGAACTCAACATTTTCAAGGTGCCTAAGAGGAAGCTCACCGCAAGGAGCCTGGGGTATCCGGGAAACTTTCTCCCGTGATGGATCACTTGGTGTGGAAAACGTAGGGGGTGTGGTTCGGATTGCAAGTTTTGGGTGTGCCGTGTGCACGGCTGAGGAAAGCTCACCTGAAGAGTGCTTCTCGAGAGTTCTCAATGTTGGGGTATGTTGGATGCAGGGGAGTTGAAGCCAGGGTCGGCGACACGCAACACCTTCACACAGGCAATGACTCTACACGGGCAGAGTCTACATCATAAACTTTACGGCTGGGGTCCGTGCGGAAGGCTTGATGCTCATGGATGCAGTCTTGAAGGCTGGAAGCTTGCAATTCCAGGCTTAAGCAGAAAATGTCTAGGGGGAGGGGCGCCTTTTGTAAGATGCCTCCTCAATGCTAATCAATGACTTCCTATGCCCTCTATTAAACTCAAGAGAGAAGCATTGTGGTTTAGACATGCTACCTGAATATTGGCCAAAGATTGCAGCGAGTTTCTGCATCTTTCAGGTTGGGGAGCTTCGGGCTTATAATATCATAATTCTTCTTCAGCTCGATCTATGGAGTGAATTCTGAGCCCGACGCCATATCCACTGGGCGACATCCGACTATGAATTGAGGCTTGTTGTAAACTGTGGGCCCTTCTGGGGGTACAATGTATATGAAAAAGCGGGGACCTTGAAAAGGACCAACAGTTTTAACAACCAGCAGTTGTTGCAGTGGCTTTGGTTTTGAGCCTCACCATAGTGATTGCCCGATTTCATGATCTGTCTGCTCTTCCAGGTGATTCGCCCGTATTGGGATGATGTCCCTATATACCCCCTATAGAATGATCCCTCTATGCTTGCAATATGGTGCTTGAACATGGTATCTAGTCCCGGACCAAAAAGCGGCAAACTTCTGTCGAACCAATGTAGACCATGCAGTAGCCTGAATGCTAAACTATGCTGCTTGAAATGCGAATCTGGCCTCGTATGCTCACCCAAACTGTGTTATTTTTGGATGCAAGGCACCCCCAAATCGTGAGCCAAGATGCTGGGAACCTCTGGCAGTAATCCCAAAAGCTCTTCCCTTCCCGAGAGGGTGACCTATACTTTGAGGGGTTAGCCTCATAAGTCCCAAATTACGACGACCACATTGACCGGAGGCCAAACCAACTCAGCCAAACCCTCAACTTTAAAGCACTTAAACTCTAAACGCCTAACCGTTAAAATCCTGCTACAGATTGTGCCCTACAGATACTCTACTGTCACTACTCTTACTAAACATCTTAGTACCACCACCTACTCGCCACCGCTGCCCCCGCCGCCACGGCCGCCGCTACCGTCACCCCCACCCACCCCCACCACCGCCGCCGCCGCCATTGCCAACAGTGGCGCTAACCCTACATGAGCTATAGTCTAAACTCCTAGTATCCCCCTTAAGAAACCCTATAGTAGTCCCCTATATGATCCCCTATATATAACCCCCAATGAAGGAGTTTAGACCATTAGTACTATTCCTATATAACCCCAATATAGTAGTTTCCATTTTCTTTTACGTTATTCCTATATAACCCCAATATTTAGGGAAACTATAGTAGTTCCCTATATAATCCCCTGTATAACCCCCAATTAAGGAGTTTAGACTATTAGTACTATTCCTATGTAACCCCAATATAGTAGTTTCCATTTTCTTTTCCATTATTCCTATATAACCCCAATATTTAGGGATCCTAACCCTAAACCCTACACCCAAAATCCTAAACCCGAAATCCAAAACCCTTGGTTCATATAACTTTTGGTCCACCCAGGTGCTGTCCCTCCGTGGCCGCCAGGTGTAGCGCCGTACGACTGTCGTAGTCCGCCAGGTTTACCTTTCAGCCGTGGTGCTTTTGAGTTTCAAGGCTTGTGGACCTCTATGGTTTGGGATTTTAGGCTTAAGTTTGGGGCTTGGGATTTTCAATTTCAGGCTTGGGACTTAGGCTTCGAAATTAAGATTGAGAGTTTAGGGTAGAGGAAGGAATGAAGGAATGGATGCCTGCATTTTTGTCTTGTCTTTGGTGTTTCCACTGCTGAGTCCCCCTTAACTCACCGGTGTCGTTTGCAAACTTTAGCCCGCAAAAGTGCGTCCCTTTCCTTCACGCCTGCTTTTGTGATCTCAGACATGAAGTTTGGATTCAGGCTTGCAGCATGCTATGGCGGGGCTTGACAAAGGTGTTGGGTTCTGTCCCTGCGTCCTTTGCCGAACTTTGCTGTGGGCCGTGGGAGCCAAACATGACGGCAGAGCTGCACACAGAAGCCTCACTTATCCCAAACGTCAACAGCAGAATGTCACACGATTGGGTGCCTGCTCTTTTGCGGCGCGCTTTCTGGATTCCAGCTATGTTTGCAAATTTTGTTTGTGCGGATCACAAAGAGCTGGCAGCGCACTGACATGATAATCGGAAGGTTTCTTGGTAAGTGGATAGTGATGACCAAAATCCAAGATCAGCTTGGTGGCGTCCACTGAATTCTCCGCCAGCTGCTGTAGCTTGACCTCAGCCCACAAATGAGTTCTGAACATCAGGCCGTCTCAGGTAAGTTTCCCTTCAGGTCGTTTATGATATTTACAAGCTCTACGGTAAGTTGAAATGCCAGCCCTTTCTCACACAACAAGTCTAGATGTTAGTGTCTACTTCTGATCAGATCTGTCACGAGCAAGCAATCTTGAGAGAACTGTTGGGAAATGTGCAAAGGGCCTTTCTCGGCGTGGGGCCTCCGTATGCCCATAGATTCCCAACAAAAACAGACAGGCTTTGCTCTACAGAACGCGGAAAGTCCTTTCATACGAGCTTTGATGCCTTTCAGACTCAATCTTCCTGCGCCTGAAACCTCCAACACAGGTATGTGGTGCGATAAGCCGTTAACCCTAAGTGCATCCCAGGCTAGTAACCCTCCACACTGTAAAGCCTTCACCCTAACCCTTGCCGTCCGAGATTCTATGTTACCTGCGGATGCAGCGTCACAAAGCCACCCAGCAGCCAACTCCTGCAGGTCATGTGGGAACTTCTCGAACTGCGGTTACTGTGACGAATCTTAGGACGAATAAGGACGATATGAGAAGCATTCGAGGGTTTGTGACATTTCCATGTCGGCACTGAGGCTTTTAAGGTTGACCCTAACAAGGCCAGCGCACAACTCGCTACAGTGCAAATTTAGTCGGCCTCTAACAAAATTTCATTTGATTCAGCGAGCCTTGCCCAGGCTCCAAAGCCCAAGCTAGTAATGGAAAATGTTCTAGTTTACAGCCGTAGTACTAATATTTCTGACAGTACTTATTATACCAAACAGTCCTAAAATCACAGTATATGATAGCAATCTGAATAATCATTGAAACAGTTATAGTAACAGTACTACTCCTGGTAATAGTCGTCATAAGCTCGAGAATCTCTAGCCTGGAAAATGCAGGATGCAGCACATGCGTGCTCGACTGGACCTAAGACAGATTGCTCTCGATGTTGACTACGTGGGAGAAGCCTGTGATTAAGTTTGTCCCTGTCACGGAAACCCAGCCCAATCAAACACTCCAGCATGAAGAGGGGAGCTCATATGCTTGTATTTTAGTGTCAGAAACTGCCTCTGCCTACATCCTCTTGAACGACTGGGTTCACAGGGACTTGCCTCTGGCAAAGTCCGGAAGACTGAACTTAGTTTCAGAGTTCCCTCGGCGCGATGGAAATAAGTTCACATCTATCCCGGTCGGCGGCCATGCGGGAGGGAAGCAAGGATTATCTGAAGCGGTCCTGCCGCAGTTGACCTCGCTTCGAGAAGATCAGCTGGGCAACGACCGTGTGATTATTCCTGGGTGCAGTAGAGGGCCACCTCTTGCACAGTGCCAGGCTGTTGTGTTTGAGGAGCAGGCTCTGTTGGAGCCGTGGGCTGCAATGAGCTGTGGTCTGTTGGGAACATGAGCAACCATTGCTAGTTCTGGCTCCCTGCTATAGATGCACCGAATTGGCCGCAACGGCCCATGCCTACAGTTGCTTTTTCTCACACAGAGACATGCCCAGGCTCAAGCCCGTCACCTGTAGCTTCCTAGAACCTTCAACTGCCTTAAACTACCAGGACAACAACGGAAAAAGCCACGAACAGGAAGCATCCTGCCATGGTCTTGCGAAGCTCAGCAAGCATGACTTCTGTCTTTCACTCGGCAATTTGATGGTTTCCGCACCCTCTAGACGGGCTTATTGTGGAATGCAGCTGGCTGCTGCTTCCAACGACGAGCAGAGCCCACACTCCTGCGGAAATGCCCATTTGCCGGCTTACGGTATTTTCAATATCCCCGCCTCCAAGAAGGTCCTCAGTGTGAAGACCCAGTGGAGCGCCGATGGTTTTTAGGCATGGCTTAACACAAAAACGAGCCCGAAGTGAACTCGCACCAAAATCTGTAGCCAGCTTCTGAATTGCATCCTCCAGCGCGGTTCCACCCCACCTCAAGTCTGCAGGAGTGGGGATTTGGCAGCACTCTCCCTAAGTGCCTCCGCCAGCTGCCAGAGATTTCAGAATTAGGGATTGGGGGGTTGTAGAGGAAGGTGCTAGACCCGACCTGAGTGGGCTCTGACAAGCCATGAAACGAGAACCCAAAGTTATAGGGGCTCTCCCATTTTGACCTGGTACAGTCGGCATTGGAACACACAGCTTCAAGCAACACAAACTTTCAGCCGGCCTGTCTTTGAAGTTAGGGTTCGCTTTCGACTCCAGGAGGAAACTGATGACCTGACCATGTCTGATTCCGGAGCTTCAATTCAACTTCCCTTCTTCATGTAGGGCCATAACAGGCGGAGTAAGCGTTATGCGTAGCTTACACTTACACTACCCACAGCCTGCGAAGGCAAAGGAATCAGGTAAGCGGCAGCTTTTCTTGGTGCGAGGCTGAACTATTCCTCTGAATATATTCTTTTCAACTTCTGAATTCAGGCGTCGTGTAGCCTCATTATGGAACTAAACTGACAAAGCCCTGCTGCTGCGTGCCAAAATCCTGTAAAGAATAGCCATGGCCAACATACTAAGTAAACACATCAGCAATGTTTGGGGTTCGGGAAGTTAGGAGCTTTAGGCTAGCGTTATTCAACCAGGTTCCCTTCCATACGCACTTTCTCAGGCAAGGTAAAAGGCAGCTGTTGACCAGTTGGTGCTCGCACGCAGTGCGGATTCAGTTGGGGATTGTTCCAAACGACATCAGTCATTGCCGCCCTAACCTGCCCTGTTTGGCATATGGGTCTATTTCATGCAAGGAGAGACCTACGGACCAGGCACCCACACATCATACCCCCAAGACACGTCGAGCTCCATTTCGCAAAGCCCTCCTCCTCACAAGACTATAGTCCCCCTTAAGTAGATAGAATATGTCTTTGGGCATATTATAATAAGATCCCCATATACCCATATTCTATCTACTTAAGGGGGACTATAACACCTCATGTTATTCACCCAAAGGCCGGACTCCGCCTCAAGCTTCCCTTCAGAAGCAGCGAGGTGAAGAGGAGTCCGGAGATCGTAATCCCCAGAGTCCGGGTTGATCTTCACCTGCAGAAATCTTCAGAAGCAGCATCTGTCCTAAGAATATGGCCTATCCAGGAGGCTGAGGATTCATTGGCTGAAGAGACCGAAAGTTGATGGTGAGACTTTCAAGCTGCAGTGTAGCTTCCAGGGATTTCGAATCCTGCTTCTATTCCGTGCTCTTGAGCGGCGAGCTCGAGAAACATGATTTTATCTTCAAGACGTCCAAGCTTGCGAAGATGAAGTATCCATGAGAGCTTGGGCATCGAGTAGCGCCGCTAAACTTCAAAGACTACGGCTTCTCCACGCATCTTAATCCTCTTCGTAGCCATGATGCAAGAAGCTCAGCTCTTTTCCTTACTGGGGCTGAGGCATCCGAAATCCGGAAGGATGCAAAGATTAAAGCAGACCCCTGGTTTGCTGATGTCTAATTCGGTACCTGAGCCACAATAGCTACAAATCCCTTACGCCTACCTCCTTTGCTACAGTACAATCTGGAAGCCCATCTTGGTTTAGCGGATGTTGGCCTCAATGAGCTCTTTCAGGGCAACGAGGTTACCACTGCTTGCAGCGTCGCACAACGCTGTGGCCTCAGGCCAAGGATTTGCGGGGTTTTTGGGTCGGGGCTGTAGAGACATGAGAGCTTGGAGTTTCTTTAGCCATTTCTGAAAGGCTTTGCCTGAAGCCTCTTGCTCATAGGACCGCTCAAGGGAGCATTCAGAATGGGGGGAACGCTGCAACTGCTTGGGACCGAGGTGACAGCAACGGTCATACAAGCATCACGCCTGGCAACCCAAGAAACAAGCCGACATGACACAGCGCCTGCAAGGAAGAAAGGCAATGGCCCGGTCCAAACCTGAATAATTTCAACTCGACAAGTTCCCAGGCTCTCACCCTCAAATACCAGAATTACACTGAACAAGAGCTTCAAACACTTCCAAACACTTCTGAGGAGGGGTCAGAAAGGACCAAGTGGCAGGGTCGTCCAAATTCAAGTCCGCCTGCTGCTCTATCAGCAGCTCCTCAGCGCTGTTGGTAAGCTTCATGGGGTCTTGTTGGGCACCTTTCAGGAAGGGAGATTCCTAAGGAGCGAGCTCCCGCTCAACCAGCTCCCCCCCCAGTCAAGGCTCCCCAAAAACAACAAAATCAAAGACAAAACAACTTCGACCCAGTAGTGAAAACCCCACAGCTTAGTTGAACACTGGAAAGCATCCGAAAGCGCCAGCCAGAGCCTTCAGTCCAAACTCTAGAGCCCATTAAGGCAGAGGATCTCATCAGAAACTTGGCTCGTCAAACCCTTTTTGGCATCCCGCCTGCCTGAAGCGCCCTTGCTGGGAAAGAGTTGTTCACCAGCCCACGCGGGTGCACTAATGAGCTCACACAAGACTTTAACCAGCCCAAAACCCTAGACTCTCAGATCCTGAAGGCCAATACTCATTGAAAACTAGGAGCCGTCACCGCCCCATTCTTGGCCAGCACCGCATCCTTCAGCGGTGAACCCTTCCAGCGGTCCTGACGCTAGCATATGGCAGCTTGAGAAGTGCGAAGTACTGTACGCCAGCAGGCAGACAACATATGTCTAACATGTCCGTAGATGTACGCGCACTTTGTTTGTTTTTTTTTGAGGATCCTGGGGTGCAAGAAGAGGACGTGACTTTACGGTGGCATTTTCGCGCGCATAGAACCTGCAAAATTGCCTCTTCTTTGCCTTAGGTCGGGCTACTCATATGGGATGATTTGGGTGGCGTGTAGCTGTTGAACTTGGAAGACGCATGGTGGCGCAGAGCAGCGCGCGCCCTAACTAACCCCTTCTCCCTGCTTGAATCATTATGCTGCAGAATATTGCAGGAAAAAAGGCTGCTGAATAGCGGGGAAGTCATACGCTTCTCTGAGGAAGCAGCGCTTACCACTGTAAGACACGTTTGCGAAGGGTTCAAGCTGGCTTTCTCCTGCAGATTCACATTGCCCTCAGCCTCGATCAGCACTTTCATGACCTAAGTTCAAAGAGTCATACCAACCAGCGGCAGTAGAGGTGTCGTGGCAGGCCGTTGTAGCTGGATTTGGTTGCTGAACTCCCTTGCCCGACACACTTGTGGGTGCTAGCTGCTGAGAGCAGGAATGGCAAAGCACCCGGAATCATCCATTTGCGGACGTGTGACTTGGTGAATACGGTTGGTAAGACCGTTCTTGTCACAGCATTGGCTTTGGCAACCGTATGGCAACAAAGCTACTGTCCATGCGAGTATAGAGGACAGAAACAGTTGTACCTGCACAACGCGCTCCATTCAAGACCTTTTCATGGAGACTTTGTTTATAAGTACCTTGTAGCAGCCACGCGGCCGCGTCGCGCCCCTCAGCTGCCGCCAGATGCATTGCGGTGCGACCGTCGCAGTTTGCAGTGTTCACCTGGACGCGCTTGCGCAGCCTCAGCTCTCAGTAATAAGGCGTTCTAGCGCAAGGGCTGTAAGATTTGAGCGGGTGAAATCCTGAAAGAAATAGAGGTCCGTGGTCCAAGAACATCTCGAGCAAAGCGCTTAATTATTCAGATGCTTGGGCATTGGGGGTTGGAAATAATGAAATTCCTGCATAAGACGGCTTCCAGTCAAACAATGCTTCCTTTACGCCATCGGTTCAAAAACACACCGCCCAAAGCCACTGATCCTCACAAAGTCAGGTCTACATTCACGCTTACTACCCCCGAGATTGGAATCCTCGACTCCTTAAGACTCCAACTCATGCACGCCTTTGTTTAAACAACTTGCTATGACTTGCTGTTCTACCCACATTAGCCCCAAACCATCAATACTCTCTCTTGTAAGCTCCAACCCTCACTGGACCTGTGAGACCCTCATTCCTACAAGGTCTGAATGCATCCTTCAACTCCAAGTCGCTGTATCAAAACCTCCCACGACTTGTAGGCAACCCTTGCGGTGCCCCAATGCGAACCATAGTGACCCCTTCATCACATGTGCCCCTATACCAGTGTCCACGTTCACACCCGCTTCTCGCCGAACTTCTCGCCCCTGGACCATTTAAGCACCAGCAAGTACCTCTAAGGCGGGCGACAGCAGCTCAACCTGTTCGACATTTCCCTCAGAAGCCGCTCGGATGAAGGCGGAACTCATGTGACCTTTGCAGCTGCCAGAACTAACACAAACCCCGAAACGAATCCTGTCAAGACTACGGTCACATCCAAAAAAGGGGGATCTTGGGTTCCAAGTTAGTTTCGGGAGGGTACTGATGGTAGCTCTCTAGGCTTCGGCTTCGACAGGGATTAGCAGCTCCAAGCGATCTGCCTCAGCCTGGAGGTTTCATGCCGGTTTGCTCAGGAGTGCAGATTAATTATTGCTGCACTTTTGGGTTGGGGGCTTTGTGTGAGCATCTGGGGGGTTCCCAAAATTAGGGGTACCTTTTTGGGCGTCCCTATAATAAGGATTATAGTATAATGGGGTCTATATCCGGGTACCCTAATTTTGGGAAACTACCATCTTGGCTGGCACGTTTAGAGCAAAAAGGTACCACCTGATGGATGGACGTGAACCTCCGATCCTTCAACTTAGAGCCTCATGATGGCGCTGTTCTGCTGGGGCTGCATCCCGTCATATGAGCTATAGTCTTAATAATGGAGAATCAAATGGAAAAGAAAATGGAAAATGAAATGGAAACTGCTATATATTATAGGGTTATGTAGGGGATTATAACTGTTATAGTCTAAACTCCTAGTATCCCCCTTAATAACCAT